TATCTCACAATTATCAGCAATGAAAACATTAGCTACCCAAGTCTGCAATTTTAGCGTTAGATTTAACACATTATAATCACGTTGGACCTAGTGAATTCCCCTATGTTATTTCATTTGGAATGATCTGAATGGATGTGTCATTTTTGGAAATTAATTGGATGTCTATGCTTATAAGAGGAGAATGTGCATAATCTGATAAGAGACACTGAAAAATATGAGTGGGAAAAAAAGGGAACGGTTGATTAAAAAGAACAACAGATGCCTTTTTAAAAATGAATACTTACCAAGAGTCACACATTATGTGTGCTACCCATTTCTACCCCCATTACCACAACCCTGCTGTAGTCTTATGTACAAAGAGCTGTGGAACAGTTATTCCAGAGGCAGTGGAGAAAAGTAGGTGTTGAAAAGGGATTTGAAGGAAACAAATTTTAAATGGAAATTCCAGAAATGTATCACAGCAAATCCAGATGCTCAGCTCATGATTATTTTACAATATCACAGCCTCAGTTTGGACACACAAGATAAATGGCCAAGTGTTTCCTTTGCATATTGTATTTTTGTATTTTAAAATGAAGCTTTTTAAAAAAATTTCTATTAAATTGGTATCATTTGCCCTAATCTGCTGCTTCTGCTGTAAAATTTCTTGTTTGGTTAATTTAGATGAGATCATCACCCCACTCACTTTACAATTGTACATGAATCCATAATAGTGATGGTGATAGTATGCGTACACTACAATGTGTGGTGCCCAATTTATCATGTGCTGTAATTGATCTGAGTTCATTAACAGCCATCCATGTCCCAATCCTGCAAACATACGTGTGCAAAATTTTACTGATTTAAATAGTCCTCTTGAATTCAATGGAATGACTCATATTTGTAAAGTTTAACAAATGTGAAGGGTTTTTGGATCTACACCAATGGCTGTTTTAATCTCAAAGATTTCCATCTTGAAGTTTTGTGGCTGGAATGATTGATTGGGAAAAAGAAGTGGAATATAAAATAGGAGGTTTTCAAGTTTGGAATTCCAACCCAGTAGAAGAAGGCCATGATATTTGCAACATTCCTATTTATAGAGTCAGTGCTGCGTCTGATACTCTGCATTAGTCATGTGGAAAAGAACCTTGCCATGGTCGGAAGACTGGGTTACTGTACTACACAATACATACAGTTACCTCATAAGACCAGTTCAACTGTCACATTGATAAGAACATAAGAACGGCCGTACTGGGTCAGACCAAAGGTCCATCTAGCCCAGTATCCTGTCTACTGACAGTGGCCAACACCAGGTGCCCCAGAAAGGGTGGACTGAAGACAGTGATCAAGCGATTTGTCTCCTGCCATCCCTCTCCAGCCTCTGACAAACAGAGGCCATTTTATCACCTGGCTAATAGCCTTTTATGGACCTAACCTCCATGAATTTATCCAGCTTCTCTTTAAACTCTATTATAGTCCTAGCCTTCACAGCCTCCTCTGGCAAGAAGTTCCACAGGTTGACAACACGCTGTGTGAAGAAGAACTTCCTTTTATTAGTTTTAAACCTGCTACCCATTAATTTCATTTGGTGTCCTCTAGTTCTTCTATTATGGGAACTAATAAATAACTTTTCTTTATCAGCCTTCTCCACACCACTCATGATTTTATAAGACCTCTGTCATATCCCCCCTCAGTCTCCTCTTTTCTAAACTGAAAAGTCCCAGTCTCTTTAGCCTCTCCTCATATGGGACCCATTCCAAATCCCTAATCATTTTAGTTGCCCTTTTCTGAACCCTTTCCAAGGCCAAAATATCTTTTTTGAGGTGAGGAGACCACATCTGTACACAGTATTCAAGATGTGGGCGTACCATAGTTTTATACAGGGGCAGTAAGATGTTCTGGGTCTTATTTTCTATCCCTTTCCTAATAATTCCTAGCATCCTATTTGCCTAGTTGACCGCTGCTGCACTCTGTGTGGAAGTTTTCAGAGAACTGTCCACGATAACTTGATAACTGACCACGATAACTACCTGTGATAGGTAGTTACCTATTACAGTTAGTTGAGAATTGTACAATGAAACACATTATCATCAGAAAATGCTCATCCAAATAAACCTAAATATTTTGTGGCAAGATATGTTTCATAAAGCTTTCAATGAACCCCATGCAGGTTTCTTTTGAAAACTTGTATGGTGTCCTGATGGCTTGGCTCAGCAGGCTGCTGGGGACCCCATATAGTCCTGGATCTGTAACTCCAGGACAACACAGCCCAGTGCAGCCCTGCCATACAAGTTTCCCCAGGGTCAGGTTGTTGATTTGTAAGCTGCTTGAGTTAGGGGGCATGCTCTTTATTTTGCATTAGGAAGTCACTAATGCATGTGTGCGTGAGTCTGTGGTATAAATTATAAATCTGAAATCGGTAAAAAATATCTATATAAATAATGTGAGAACTGGAGAGTCTGATATCATAAAAGTAAAAAGCAGAAAAATACTTTAATAATCCCGCAACCTGTAAATAAAACCAATGCTGAATTTATAATCTGCACTTGGGAGATCTTGGGTGAAATCCCCAGGCTGTGCTGAAGTCAATGACAAAACTCCCGTTGAGTTTGATGGGTCCAGGATTTCAGCCCTTCTCTTTTCCTCACACTCTGAGCACTTATTGTACTTGCTAATATCTGATTCACATGTTCCACTGTGCAAATAGGATTTTTCTGCCCTTGCAGACCATATAAAACAAGCTACAAAACAAGTTACAAAAGTCAATAGAACTGTATGTCAGAGCATTAGTCCACCGGCAAGCTATCAGTTGTAGGGTTGGGGTCTTCCTATGAAATGGAGGCAATGTGTTGATGAGTATTAAGCACTGCTATGTCTTAATTATTTAATTTTAAACAGGCAACCAAAATCTGATTTCTTTTTCCTTTTTCAGAGTAATGTGCCGTTTGTAGCTAACCAATTTGCAACATAAGCAGACTTTTCTTACTCCTAAATTAAGTGCAGTGAAAGAAACTAGGGAACATTTGTTGTCTTATTTAGCAAATGATAAAAGAAGTGGAAGAAGGATTTCTATTTAAATGTTCGCTTAAAATCCCTTGGAAACTTCAGTGAGGAAAGATCCACTCTGTATTGTTGGAAAGTTTAATCACTGTAGGACAGTTGGAGAAATACTTTATTGGCCATGGTTACACCAAGAAAACATCACTTAGAGAATCCTGATCCAACTCATCTCTTTCATACACACCCCTAATATAATTGACACTTATGCTTTTCAAGCTTTCAAATCTAATTATATTCAAATTACTATGTTAATACAACATTCAGGTCATACAATTAAAATAACAAAAACCTAAGGAAGACAAAAGTTTAAGTTCCCATAGCAACATCAACTCATCTACATTACACTCTCCCACAATGTGTAGTATTTTATGGCATTACATAAAGAGTATGGGATGAATTGTGGGATTGAAGATGTTTTCTCTTGGTGCAGGGAGGAACTCCCTGACCTGTTGTGCAGATGGTTTCTAGACTGCAGGGTGGCTGCAGTCAAGTACTCAAAACACACATTAAGTCTTCCAAATTAATGAGATTAGCTTAAAAAAGCAAGAGATTTTTAAAAGCACTCAATTGTGAATACTGTCTGCTTGGCTTTTAGGCGTCTCGTTATTTACAGCACAGTTAATTCAAATTTTCAGTCATTTCTCTTCAGCTGTAAGAATTAGATTTTTTTTTTAAATGAAAACCTAGATTCTCAACTCCAGAAATCTGGCCATTAAGAAATTATCTCTTCTAAACTTGGTATCTAGGACTCTAAATGCTAGAACACTGGTGGGCAATAAAACAGAGGTGGTTCACCAGTGTTAGCCCCTGGTGGCCCACTGCCACTATATTTACCTGCACTTCCATAGGGACAGATGATTGCAGTTGCCATTGGCCAGGAAGGGCAATCCGTGGCCAACAGGAGCTGTGATACCTTGTACCTGCAAAAGCGCAGGTAAATACAGCAGTGTGGGGGCCCCCCAGAGTTAAACCCTGGCAGACCAGATCCAGCCCAGAGGCCAGTATTTGCTCATCCCCGCTCTAGAAGAAATTATCAGTGCCTGTTACTATATAGATATTATGCTATGTTGAAGCCATGTTGGTCCCAGGACATTAGAGAGAAGGTGGTAAGGTCATTTTTTTTATTGGACCTACTTCTGCTGGTGAAAGAGACAAGCTTTCAAGCTCTTTTTTTCAAAAAGAGCCCTGTGTAGGCTCAAATTATTGTCTTTTTCATCAAAAGAAGTAGGTCCAATAAAAGAATTACCTCAGAGGCAGTCAACAGGTGCACCACAGTCCAAATTCAGACTGCCAGATGCTTTTGAATGGAAATCATTTTATTTACTTATTATTATTGCTATTGTAGTGTAAAAACATTTCTGGAGTCTGAACCTTGACTATATCTTGACCAAGAAATGTGGACCTTGATAAAAAAATAATTCATTACCCCTGCATTACCTCACCCACAATATAGATAACTTTTTATGTTCCCTTCAAGATACTTAACCACATCTCATCACCCTATTGAATTAGCATACCTTTAACCATCTACTGTGACTGCAGATTCGGTATAGTTTGTCCCACAGATTCAGTATAATTGCCATTCTTCAATTAGAAAAGTTTTCAAATGGAAGCGTTGGGGGTAAAACAAACAATCCATGAAAATGGTTGATCCTGATCCAACCACTGAATCAAATGAAAGGCTTTCACTGGTATCATTTGGACCTTGGATTGGGCTTATAGCATGCCTATCCAAATTATTTTGTAGAGTACAGTTTTTAAAAAAAGGTTAAAATTATAATGACATTGGTGGGTGGATATGGGAAAAAATAAGAGAGAACTGGGAAATAAGAGCAACAACATTCCAAGCTGTCTGTTTGTACCACTAACAGCTTTATTTTGCTCAAGGAGCTCTCCAAGTAGCTGATCCTTGGCAAGTGATACTGCTGAAACATCTTTGCAGGGAACCATGACCTACAGACTCTTGGCATGGTAGAACCTTGGGGATATTTTCCTTTTATTTTATGAAGTCCCTTGTTGTGGAAATTGTGACTGTTGGTGACTGGTAGAAAGTGATGGCTGTAGTGAGTGAAGAGCTTGCATTCAGAAATTTATGGTATTAATTCCAGGAATAACATAGCAAAAGCTAGTAGAAGGAGAGAAATAAAAAGAGAGAACATAATCTGAAAATG